ACACACACACACACACACACACACACACACACACACACACACACACAAAGGGTAAGGCAGACCAGCACCAGAGCTGGAATGCAAGCTCCATGAGGACCAGGATGTCCTCTCTTGATTACCACTGTACCCTTTAATACTTAGCACAGGAGTGGTAACACTGTAAGTGCTTAATATTTTTTGAAGGAGTGAATGACAGCTATCATTCATTGATCACTTTTCTTGAGGAACTTTACTAAGCATGTTAGAAATGTGACAAGACTTTAAAACAAGAACTGGGAACTGGGCAAGAAAGTGACACTCCAAGCCTCACAATAACCTTACGACTGAGCCAATGTAACATATTTTTTTTTCCAATTTTAAAGGCAAGGAAATCAGATGAGAAAGACCAACCTTCCTAAGAAGGCAGAGCTCTAAAGAGCTGAGCCACCAAGTCTGTCTTCCTTCCCCTCTGCCACATCAATACCAAAATGAAGTTTAGCGCTTGGAAAACAAAAGAACATGGAGAAGATAGCCTGGCCAAAAACTGTATTATCACACATTCAAAACCAGGATGTCTGTTCCTGGAAAAAAGAAAAACCTTATTTCAATATTGCAGAGACAGCCAACAGGGCCTATGGTTCTGTTCTTAACAGGCACACTTCAATCTTCTATGTTCAGAGCACTGTAGGGTTCTTTAAGTGCAGGTGCCCGTTTAAAAAGTGACTGAGCTGCATAAAGAATGGCTTCAAAAGCTGAAAAGCTACAAGTTAAAAGCCAGATATAAAGATCCTTATCTCCCTTCATTAAATTATACCTCTATTACCTTCCCTGAAAAACTGCCTGACCAGAGGAATTCGAAGAACTGTCCAAGTAAGAAAAAAGTGTTTGCCTAGCACCCTGTAACGAAAACCATGTTTCATGTAGTGACAACGGCAATCCTGTCACATCTTCACTATTCCCTAAGTACCCCGACAAAGGTGCATTCAGGCACTACCTAAGATTAGTAGGCTTCCTTTTAAAACTGTGAAACAGAATCGTATAGAGGATGATTTTTTTTTTTAAACTCCGGTCTGAGAACGGAAGTCAAGTTCAGATTCTCTTCCTTCCTCAAAAGCGAGCAAGAGAATTAAAGAGCGCGCGCGCGCACAAGCACGCACACACACGCCCTATAGTAAAAATGTCTCGGGGCCTCTTCACCTGTGGCAATTGCTGCGGCAAGCCTGGATTTGCTGGGATTTAAGGCTCTTCCTCACTCGGGAGGAAAGACGAGGGGGTGAGGGGGACACAGGGAAGAATGAACTGGTGACTAAGTTTCCAATCGGATCATTCTTTTCAACTTGGGCAGCTCTTTCCTCCCCCCGCCCCTTACCCCCTTCCCCCACGGCCCGGGGCACACACTCGGCCCCGCCAGCATGGGCAGGCCCCGAGGGGGGCACGGCCGCCGCCGAGCACCCCCGCGCCCCTCGGAGTCGGAGGCGCAGCCGACCCCGAGCGCGCGGCCGGGGAGCGGCGCAGACCCCGGGAAGGGGCCGCGGATCCGTCGTCGCCGCCAGGCGTGGGGACCGGGAAGGGGCAGCCTCCGCGGGGCGGAGAGGCGGGGTGAGCACTTCCTGACTCTCGCATTGTCCACGCACCGCCCGCGCCGCCCCGGGCCCCGCCACCGCGCCGTCCCCGTCGGGGAGGAAGTTGGCGCACGCCCCGCCAGCCCCGTCTTACCGTTCTTGGCGTCGCCCGCGGCTGCAGCCCCCGCGGCGGCCGCGGCGTTGGCGGTGCCAGTCCCCGCGCCTCCGGTGCCCGCCGCACCCCCGGTGCCCGGCGCTCCCGCCGCCGGCGCTCCGCAGCCGGCCGCCGCCGCCAGGCCCCCCCCGGCTGCCGCGCCCGCCGCGCCCGCCGCTGCCAGGGCCCCGGCTCCATTTTCCTGCTCGTCCCCGCTGCTGTTGGCGCGCTTGTTTTTGCGGCCACCTTTACTGTTTTTGGGGTTGGGCATCTCGCGAGCGTCCAGGTGCCCGGCGTCAGCGAAGGCGGCTCCCCGCCGCACGGCCGCTCCCGGCCCGCGCGGAGCCGGGTCCGGGAGGAAGAGAATGGAGGGCGCGGGCCGGCGGCTCCTCCGGCGCCCGTCTAGCCGCGCGGCCCGCGCCGCGCCATCCCGGCCGCCGCGCCCTCTCCGGCTTCCTGGAGCCGGCGCGCGGCCACCCGAGGCTCGCAGCCGCGCGAGCGCCGCGGGCTCGGGACGCGAGCGAGACGCTCCCGAGCCGGAGGGAAAAGGCGGGTCTCCGGCTTGTTTTGATTCGGCTTCGCTGACACGCTCTGGCCCCGCCCCCGCCCGTGACGACACTGGGGATTCGGCCTGACCACGCCCACCAAGTGACCTCACGGCTGACTGGCCCGCCCGCGTGACGTCACGCCCCCGCTGAGCCGGCCACTTTCGGGTGACGTCATCCTGGCGCCCTCACGGCTGGCCCGCGGAGCTACTGGGCATCTGCGAAGCGAGCTTCGTGAAGTGGCCCTCTAAGCCAATCCGGTGGCGTCGCAAGTAGTTATTCGGTGGCCTCCTGACCTTCATGAGATTGAGGCTTAGAACAATATGGTCCGGAAAAATAGGCGGGTGACTAGAACAAGAAGTGAAAACAAAGGATTTCGGATTAATAATCCACCAAAACACCTCACCCCTCAAGATCAGTTTTAGGTTCAGTAATTGCAGAAATAAGATTGAGTTCCCAGACAATGGGAATGAATGAGAAGCCGGCACAGTGTGGTGTTGAAAGTAGTTCGTACAAACAGGACCCACCATCCGGGGATAAAACTCAGTGTTGCCTGTGATCACGAAACAAGTGGGGGGAAAACGCAACCCCCATAGATAGGGCTGAGCTGCCCTGAAAGAGCGATGGCTGTGTCGTGAGCAGGCTCGGATTAGAATGTGACACCTGTGAAGAGAAGCAATGATGTGAGGGCAGGAGACAGACCCCTGGGGAGAGTTTTACATGGGCTCCCATTTCTGCAACTTTATTCTATCTTTTCACAGACCAGCTCCTTCCCAACCTCAGGTCCCAGATCAAACACACTCCCTTCAGGATGTAACAGAAACACCTTCCCGGAGGAGCTATCAGAAGTATCTCTCATTAAGTTGTCAATGTACATGTTTACTTATTTCCTATCTATCTCCTTCTCGCTCACATGAAAGCTCCATAGGTAGTAGTTTCTATCAGTGTTGGGCACCTCAGGGAACAACAGCTAGCTTGTATTTGTTGAGTGTATAAATTAGGTTCTTTTTCCCATGAACTATGGAGGAAAACTATTTTAGCTGACAATTAACAGTTTTCCCCTCCTATAGTGTAATCTTCTTTAATTAACCCAGCTCTTCAGTAAAGGCTCTAAAGCTTAAAGAGAACCCTCCCCATGCTCCTCACCTAATGGACTGGGAGCAGAGTCCATAGCAGAGGTTGGAGCTACTGGGAGGAGCCTGGATGCTCAGGAGCAATTGCTGGTTGGACTTCCCAGCAGGAAAATGATGAACTGTTTAATTTCCCGAGTATATATTGATGGTTACATTAGATAGATACATACTTTGTGCCTATATTTTCACATATATTTCTACCCCACCCTGACTTCCTCTGAGCACTAGAAGAGCAGGGATTGAGTCTATCTTTCTACCTAACTCTGCAGAGTCTAGCAGAAAGCCTGACCCACAGAAAGCAGTCAGTAAAAATCTGTTGAATGGGGAATGTCAAATGCACTCTTCTTCTGGCTACATCTTTCTGAATCTTAAAGTCTCAACTAAATCATCAATTCTCTAGGAAGCCTCCTCTGATAGCCCAAGGCTAGATTTGCCCCCTGGGCTCCCTGTACCTTCCCCAACAAAACAGCTTGCACACAAAGGTATTGAAAATGCCTGTGTATTTGTCTGTCTGGGCCCCCACCGGACTAGCAGCCCTGTAACAGTAGAAACTGTGTCTTTCTTAGTCATCACTTGTATCCTTGGTGCCTAACACAGTGCATGGCACTCAGTAAGTATTTATTAATGCATGACAAGTACATGAATAAATGAATGGACAAATGCTTTGAAGGTATATGCAGCAGGATTTCGTCACCACCTGGACCTCTGAAGTCAAAAAATTCTAAAAACTGGAGGAAAATGCTGTCGGTGGTTAATTAAATGGAGACTTCAGGGAGAGGATGGAGGAGCTGGGGACAAAGATAATGAGTTAATGTGGCCAGTTCAGACTTAGCTTAATTTCATTACTGGGATCCTTCACTAGAGGCGGCTGAGAGATCTCACAGTATTTTGGTGACCTTGGCTTTGGCCTTTCTTTCTTTCTTT